TAGTCACCATCAATAGCGGTTTTGTACAACACACAAGAGCGCCGAGTTTGAGAATGACAGAGGAATGCTTGCCAGAGAACGAATATAAATGTGCAAGTCCGCTGGGAAATTACAGACCTGATTAGTGCCCCGATTTCTACAGCTGCAGAGCTCTGAATCGACCTGCATCTTCCTGCGAGAAGTTGAGCTACTGTCAGGGCTGCTTTCGTTCCAAATAAGCAGCATTTCACCTCATTCTCTCCCCTCGTTTGTCAGCCCACAGCCCTGCCGAATGCTGCATCAATGCTGTTTGACCGCACAAGCCTACAGGCTCGCTGGGTAACGACAAGAACACCCTCGGAGGTGTTCTTGCTTGAAGACATCCCTGCCTTCCCTGCCACAAGGCGGTGGTGGAGCCCCCCCACCTAATCCTCTCACACAGATTGACCTGCTCACACCACAGTCCAGCGCATCAGCCTTAAATTAAACTTCTAAAACGCTTAAACCACCTGTTGCACTTTTCCGGGTGCTCACCATGGTGCAGACCACGCACACACATAAGCAAAGAGGCTTTAGGTCTTTAGGTAGTTGTTTATTGTTAAAGAGACCGTCTGTGTCAGCCTCAACAAGACGCTACACAGGCGTCCCCTCGCACTGCGCCTGCTGCTCCTTTGCAGCTCTCGCCCTTGCTTGCCAGTCTCTCCTCTTCTTCAGTCTCTCCGCTGCTTTCAGCTTCCGCGCCTCCTGAAAAACCTGCAGGAGGAGCAGATGGAGGTGAGGGGAGAGACAAAGCTGCCTGCTGCTGAGCAGAGCTGCTCCACCTCCACTGCTGGCTGCTGCACGCAGCACGGACCCATGGTCCTGCAGCAGAGACCAGGAGGCACGCCGTGCAGCAAGATCAACTCCTCCCCAGGCGCTTTCTCCAGGACTCCAGCCAGCCCTGTTTTCAGGGTACCATTCGGAGGTATTCCATTATATCTACCTAGTCTTTTGGTTATAATTTCATTGGACTGAAATTTAGTATTTACAGACTGAAGGCATGCCCAGCTTTTTGATTCTGCTCAGTTGTACTGAGATACATTGCACACAGCAGTTACTTAGAGCAAATGAAAGTAGACAGTGGGCATACCCACATTTCTGTTCCACAGCTGCCATCAAATTTCATTGTCTCACATATTAGCTCCCATACCAGGCTTTGAAAAAAAGCTGTTTTGAATCACACGTTTCTGAGCAAACTAGTAGCACAATCCGAAGTTCTCAAGCACAGCACATGCATCACTGCCCACTATGTACTTGTCTCTCATGGAGCGCTTTGCCGAGCTTATGCACCTCTACAGACATTGTCTCCTCAAATTCAAAGCATGGATTAAAAGGACATACCGATCAGTCTTTTCTAACTGTCTTAATTGTGCCCTTCTATAAAGAGACTTTCTTCTACTCCAGCTACGTGGCTGTCTGTCCAGATTGCTCCATACCTTGAGACAGAAAGCTTTCTTCACAAGCCAGCGCTTGGTGATCCTTCTGGAGTAGGGAGGGGGTAGGGTGTACTGGATATTCAGCTGCTTGCAGGTATTTTCAAAGGTATCGTAGCGAACACGGCGAAGATATGCAAGTAGTTTCTTCCGGCGATCTATAGCCATCAGCATGCGACGGCGGTTATTTTTATCCTGCAAAGGACTTCACGTTCACTAGAGTGCAGACAGATTATACTTCCATTCCAATAAATTACTTGAACTAGACCAGATTATGGCTGAAAGGAAACCATCAGGTTAAGGACAGTATCTTAGAACAATTTTTCTTGGCAGATACCGCAAGCACATTAGGTCACTACAAGGAGATCCGAGAAGACTTAATTTACTTTTCACTGACATTACTTTCTTCATTCTGTGCCTGCATGTTCCTCCCCCAACCCTGAAGACTCTTTTCAACTTGCAGTTTCAGACAGTGGCAAAAGTTGCAATGGCTTGGAGGCAGAGACCCTAGGGAAGGTCTACTGGCTAAAAACTCTGCTTCCCCTGAAACCTATTTTCCAGAAATAACATAAAAGCATTCACCTTTGTTTTTTCCAGAAATTAAATATGAAAATAAAATGTGACTTGGCTCTATCTGACCTTTTGAGTTGTTCTTTGGCAAAGAATATGCATAGCTTGAGCCATGCCATTCAGGGCAATCCCCATGGGAGAAATTTCCCTATCCTATACAAGCAATTTGTGTAAAAAGCAGGCTTCAAGTCATTTCAAAAGGTCTCTTCTGCTGAAACATTTGGTACAACTTCTGGCTTCTCATAAAAACTGAATTCTATTCTGTTTTACCCTTCAAGCTTTTATGATTAACAAATAATTCCGCACTTTTTTCAAATGCAGTTGATTAATCCATTTCCCACCTTTTGCACTGCATAAAGAATCTTTAATATACTTTGTTCATAAACTCACAGATGTGATGTTTCGAATTTGGGCTCTGAACCCAGGTAGTTTTAGGTAGGAAAGTGATCATCATGACATTAACACAATCCTGTCCGCTAAACATTTTCATAGGCGGAACAAAGAGAGAATACAGCTGAAGTGGTAACAGTAATTACATTGAAAACCAAGCAGTGAAGCCATCTCTGCAGCAAGGATAAATTTAGCCAGACTCTGTTCAAAGGTATCTGCTCAGCCATTTCCACCAATCCAGTAACAAAAAAGAGAACACACTCCACATTTCAGTCGGTGACAATGTAGCTGTGACCGAGCCAGCAGGTTCCCGGACTGGCACCAGGGAACAGTTATAACTATTTTATAAACCTTTTATAAGCCATAATCCCCAGCATTAAAATCCTTTTGTTCTACACTGAGAAAACAACCAGAACAGCTGCTGTCTCAGACATGTGGGCTCAGATTACTGATAGTTACCTTGGGATGCCTCTGAAGATGCTCCTCATAAGTGCGGATCTTGGCAGTCAACACAGCAGCTATAAAGAATAGACATAGGAAGCTGTGTGAGAGCAGCAGCTTTCCAGGGTGAGACAGTATCATTTGCATTCCCTTCAAATTGCCAGTTGAGGACTGCTGTTCTTATGGGTACCCACTGCACCACAGCAAGTATTACCGCACAGCCCTCTGAATAAGTGCGAAACAAACCACAAAATATAAACTACATAACCTGAGCCAGAACTATTACTATTATGAAGCTGCTTAATTAGAGGTTAAAATTTTAACAACAGATCATACGAATTTATCTGTAAAATGCCTCTTGCTCTTACTTAATTATTGGTGACTTTATGTCCATTTCACTTCACTTTGTTTAAGCTTTGGAGGAATGGACACAAATTAAGAGTTTCTTTCTAAGAGCAGCAGCCAGCTCTTTGTGATTTCAGGCTCTGGAGAAAGATGCTGGTGGCATCCTGAGAAACTGAAGGCCTTTGTTAATGATAAAGGAGTGCATCTTGCTCAATGGCAGGGTGGCCTTCTTCCCTGCACTGCCCCTACACTGTGCTTCGGCCAGAGCGCTCTGATGCAGAGGGAAATTTGGGTTCCATGGCTAAATCTAGTAGTTAATCGTAATAAATGCAATGCTTCGTGTCATATAAGCACTTCAAGAAGAGTAAGGCACATGCTGCCTTTGGAGGGTGGATACAGAGCAGGAATTTGGAAAGCACCGTGGCAGACATCTGCTAGTACGTGCATGCATTGCCTCTGCAATGTTCCCAAACCCTGAACAGGTCCTCCAGGGCATGCTGCAGGCTACCTACCTCTCAGGTGCTCTCCTGAAGAAGATTCTCCTAACTGATACAGGAAGCTTGATGTGCTGGGGTGGGAATAGCTGAATAAAAACAGGGATGTATCATCTGCCAACAATATCCTACTTTTTTTAACTTACCTTGCACCTCAAAGGAGCCGTTGTCATTGGGAGACCTCCTGACCTTCTCCACCAGCTGCTGTGTCTTTATTTTCATCTTCTCCTTCTGTGGATAACAGCAAAGAGCTTGTCACTTTCTCAGGAACACTAAAGGTCTGAGACACGCCAGATAAAGGCTTTGTAATTAATAGCTTTACTCAATATCCATCACAAGATGTGTAAAAAGTGCTGCAAAAAAGGACCGGCTGCTTGCAGGACAATGCTCAGAGTACAGCAGGGAATGAGCACAAAAAGATCTCAGCAGAACAAGACTTGCCATTGTCCAAACCAAGAGTCCAGGCACACCCTTCTTCTCAAGATTACAGAAGAAGGGTGTTGAAGAGGCCTCGCTGCTCTCACAAATGGCAGAGAGAACTGAAGTTGATCTCACATGGCAGCAGCCTTTACTTTTCGCATCTTTTTAAGCTTAAGTGGTAAGCAACAAGAAATGGTAAGTTCTTTGTGCTACCTTACAATTTTCTTACTTTGTTTTCTGGGCATGCAAAAAGTAAAAGTAATTTGAAGAACATCTGCTGTCCAGTGTATTATTTTCGGGAACACAGGCCAACCATCAGCAGTAACATAACACAGCTCTTCTCCCCTCTGATTGCCCAATACTTTCTTTTCTCACTTTAGTTTGCAGTTATTATCATGAAGAAGACTGCATGATAAATTTTAAGAGCATACAAGATTTACCACACTCACATATTTAACAGCCCCAGGTTTGCAGTCACTGAGCAACACTTCAAAGTAAAGTAAGTGAAGGACATTTAACAATATAGACATCTTACACAAATGTGCTCACTAAATCGTCCAGTTTTCTATGCAAGGAGAATGAAACTAACCTGGCTTGCCATTTCCAGTGACAACAGTCTTCTCACTACATCGTCAACACTGCAAAGAGATTGCAGATTAGTTTATAACCTAGAAATGAAGTACATTTAACGACAGAAATGAGGTTAGGTTTTCAGAATACATTAACTTTTCTCAATTTTTATTCTATAAATTTACAGCAACTTTCCTCCCCTCTCAAACCTGTCAGCCATAAACTGCTTTGTTCATTCCTAAGAAAAATCATGGTTGAGACTACAGAAGCATCAAGTAGTTTTGGTGCTGTGGGAAGCACTGTTATCTCAAATCATGATGAAGTCTTATAAATTCCAAAATCAACATTACGTGCAAACTGGGTGCTGAAGATTAACCCCCAAGTAGGTGGGCAAGGACAAAATAATTAATTTTAAGACCGGCTCCTTCAAAGATCTGTGAAAGTCTCAGTTACACCACTGGGGGCTCTCCATGCACCACTCATGAGCAGTTCTGGAATCAAAGCATAAACACGCTTAACTCCAGGTCCGAATTTCAGAAGCAGCCATTCATTTTGAGTTGTTTAACCACATGTCCTCTAGAACCTGGGTTCAAGACAAGCATAGATTATTTCTAATAAGACTATTTCTAGTATTTCAAGATTATTTCTTTTTTCTGTGGACTAGAAAGTCCACAGAAGATGTGGGCAACCAACACTTAATCTTACATTAAGTAAACAAAAAACTTACATAACCCTAATCAGTGACTGCTGCTGCAAATCTAACTTTCAAAACAACTTTGCAATTTTTGTGCTAAATTGCATACCAGCGACCACAGAGCATTAATTAATTACTGAGCAGGTGACAGCTTCCACACATTGTGGTTGTGTGTGTGTAAGATAAAAATCTCTAAAGAGAATAGTCATTCCCTTTCCCTCTATCATACCTATTTATTATTGGAACATTGGCATAATCTTTCTTCAGCATTGTGGGAGGAAGATCATCCAGATGGCTAGGGATGTCTACAAAGAGAAGATCAACATTTGAAGGAAGAACAGTACAAAGTCCGAGCTCTAAACATGCTTGCAAACTAGATTAGAGGAAACAAGTTGCAAAGAAAATAGACTGCATGCTCCAAACAAGAAGGAAGGACTTAAGAGATCAAGCTGAGATGGCAGGAATTGAGTGAATAAAATTGGGTCCAGTCTCTTGTCTTCAGCACTACAGATTACAACATGGTGTATAGTCCACTGAGATCAGTGATCTCTTGCTAATGACAATTGCTAATTTCCCACACATTTATAAACTAGTGAATTTTCTGAGTAACTTTTGAGCTTGCAAGAAATTATTTCTAGAAGCACAGAACCACAAAAAGGTTCACAAAGGCACCTTATGAAATTTCTAGTCCAATCTCCCCTTTAAAGCGGGAGTGCCACCATTTCTTTGTCTAGCAAAGCCTTGAAAACCTCCGAGGATGGATACTGCACAATGCCTCTGTGAAGCGTCTTCCCACGCTGCACTGCCTTCCCAGTGAATCCTTTTTCCTTTTGTGTCCAAGCAGAACATCTCCGAGCTGCTGTTTGGGACCACTGCCCCTCATTATATCATTTGGCACTACCAAGAAGAGTCTGGCTCCTTCACCCTTACAATTACCCATCAAGAAGCTGTAGGATTGCAGAATCCTGCAACAGGGATTATATTTCCTCTCTCTTCTCACGATGAGCTCTGCATCTTTAAAGTGAAATCTCCTAATTTCTCCAAATACCCTCTCTTCCTGCAGCATTAGGGTACAACTCGGATAATGTCAACAGTAAAACATTTTACCACGTGGTCCCATTAATCCTGACATACCTTTCTTCCTTCTTCTTACAGGTCTGGCGTAACATCTGGCTGTCTGAGTAAAAGGACTGCAAGCTTGATGGGAAAAAAAGATGTATCAGACTTGTGTGCACTTTTTTAGCTACGTACACATTAAATACTGCTCAGTCTGTACTAGAAAACTGGTCAGAGTACTTAGACTCCGAGGTGATCAGTGGCCAGCCTAGTCTTCTGTCCCAAAGGAATGTGGAATAGTTAAGTGCGGTTCTCATATGGGTGCTAAAACAAATGGGTGAAGCTGTGCTGCTGCAGGATGATCTGAACCCAAACGATGAGAAAAACAGAGCAGCAGGAAGAGATTACAGACACTGAGCAGAGACTGTGAGGGCTCCCCAGCTGAACTGTCTTCATTTAGAGGGCTTAAACTGATGAACTAACTCAAGTAATCTCACGTGCAAGTTAGACGGGCTGCTCTGCACCACCTCAGTGGCAGAGCGCAGAGGCAGCAAGACCCAGAGACAACCTTTGACTGGCACAGCTCGGTACAGATGCCAATATTCATCAGTAGCCTGAATTGAGCCGTTCTTTGACCTTTCAAGAATGAAGTCTTACATCTGCTCTTTCAAGGCTCAATGCCAATGGAATCAATACCCACTTCAGATTACTCACCCGTGCCTGAAACACGTTTTCAAGTACAGACTTTGCCAGTGCATGTACCGGCCTGCAAACAGAACTGGCCGAGAAGCACGTGAGCTCAGTGCTGGATCGGTAAGGCACCAGAGCTGTGCGCGGGCTGCCGGCGCAGGCGGCGAGTGCAGGGCTCTGCACGCCATCCCATGCTG